ACTTGTTCACCACGTAAAGAAGGAGGTACTAGTGGATTTTCGTAATTTATATTAAGATCATTCTGTTGGCGCAGAGCATTCGATTACTTCCTCAAGTGAGCAAGAAAGCTGATTGGTTTTGTTTTTTTTTTTTTTAAATAGCCTTCGCTGATTCATAACTGTCTTCAACTTTGTATTTTACTAGAATATTTTGTTGACATTCCGTATTCAGTTTCCTGGTAACCGTATTTTAAGATGAAAATTGATTTGAACGTTGAAAAAAAAGCAATTGCAGTTATTAGCAGTTAGCATGTTTATATATACATACATTAGCGAAATTGTAAATACAATGATTGTTTTTGTTTTAGCATAGAAAAAGATTATTACGATAAATTTAGAAAATGGTGGCACATCTATCTTAGACAATGCATTATCTTCGGATTTGCGTAAAGTACAAGTTTCCATTGTGAAATTTTATTTAAATGAAAACTTGAAAATTATATTCAAAAAAAAAGTAAAAGTAAGAACACTTGCTCATATCCCGTAGTTTTGCATGTAGCGTATACGCACCGTTGCATCATACACAGTCAGCTGCTACGTTTATTCATGCGCCTTAACTTAAAAGTCATATTATTTAAAAGTAATTAATTATTGGCGTGGAAGGTTTTTACACAGTATTCTTTATGCACATATACATATATTACTTTCTTCATGCATATAACAATTTTAATTTTAGTTTCGAGTATGCCAATAAAAGTTTAAAAAATATGCTCTTTGTTTCTCATTAATCATCTGTTACTTAATGCAATTATTATTATTTTTTTTTCACTAGTTTTATTACACTAGATTCACTCGTATTTTCAACGTTTTATTTCAACATTTGAAGTATCTTAAATTATTAAAATAAAAAAAATAAAAAACGTAAAAAACGTAAACGTGCATGCTGCCATTTCTTTAATTTGATGGCACACTCTTGAAACTTCACCGATATGTTGTATTCGATGCCAACGTCCATTCCCTCTAATATGAACATTCGGTTTGAAAACTTCCCAAAGTTATTTAAAAAAATATGACTTTTTCGAGTGACAATGAAGAAATGAAAAACTTCGGTAAATTTTCACCTATCTTCGTAACAAATTTCAGTGCTTTCTAACAAATACATTCGAGATATGTTTGCAAATTGAAAATTTTAATTTGTATAGGCGGTGCCCCGACCCCTGGTTTAGCCATCCTTAGGTTGCCTATAGTAGGTGTGCCAAATTTGGTTATGATCAGTTAATCTATTTAGGATACAACTCCGTACATACATATATACATAATTTGAATTTTATACATATAGGCTTGAGACCCAGAGTAGCCTAACTGATCTTTAAAAAAAAAGTATATATCAAGCATGTTTTTAATATTTTCGAGTCATTTTAATGATCATGTAATTACTTTTTTTGTGCATATTTTTGTCTTCCCTAGTCATTAGTAATAAGCAGATGTGATCATTGGCCACCAGCCTCTAAATTCGTCTCGAAGTGTAAAAAGTATGAATAAATTTTAATTTATTCTAGCGAGTCCTCACTCACTCACTTGTTCTTTCAATACATTCATTTTTATTTCACAAACTGTATTACAACAGATTACCAGGTGTTTTCCACAGCAATCTATGTATGCATGGAATGAAAATCTTTTAACTATAACTAAACATTAAATACTCCTATGAATACGTTTGTAGCCATGCATAGGTACGTACGTATTTTTTCCCAGTGCAAAGAATATAAATTTATGCAAATGTTCTACCCCTTCTCCTTTCCCCCATAAAACCAATCTTCCACATTCAGACAGAAAACAAAAACTCATATATCATTTTGCATATATGTATTTATGTACGTATATATATATAAATATATGTACGTATGTCTGTATGCTGCGCTTCCTTTAACAATGTCACAATGTAACGGTAATGAATGAGATTACAACTTTTTGAAATTTTATTATATCTACCTGTTGTGTTATTAAAAGCATAAAAACTCATTAGTGTGCTTAAAATTTGTGCACAAACGAACAACGCAGAGTATGTACTCTAAGGGTGGTCCAAAAAACAGTAAAGTCGGAATTGTAATGCTCTCACCCCCTAGGATTATTCTGTATCGAAAAAAGTATACCCCTATTTTTTTATTTTGAAATCAAAAAATATTTTGTATTGTATTTTTATATGGAAAAAACAACTTTTCGTAGAAATGGTATAGAATTCTTGAAAATCAATATTTTTCGATCGGAAAACTCTGGTTCTCTTCAGGAGACTTTCAATAATAATACCCAATTATTTATTGAACCATTTTTTAGTACTAATGATTTTTTATTGGTCCCCCCATTGCATTTTCCGGGGTTTTTGTGGGCTTTTGGCGGACCTATAAATTATAGTTGCGATCAAAGAATGGTTAATTAAACAATTGAGTAGTATTACTGGGAATCTCCTGCAGATAAACAGAGTTTTTCGATAGAAAAATATTGATTTTTAACTATTCTATATCATTTCTACGAAAAGTTGTTTTTTTCCCAATATAAAATAAATGGAAAACTTTTAGCGCAAAATAAAAAAAAATAGGGATTTATTTTTTTGGTACAGAACAATCGTTGGGTTTGAGAGCACAAAAATTCCGACTTAACTTTTTCACATGCATTTTTGGACGACCCTAATGTACTCATATGTATGTCTCGCATGAGTGTTTGCGTCCATTTGAATTCATTTATTATATGCGCATGCACATACATAAATACTTGTATTATCTCGGTTGCACCCTAAATACACGAGCTATTTCACTTTAATTATAATCCTCTTTCTATTTCTGTTTTACAGCGCTGAGTGTTCAGTTGACTATACCCATGCAAACTTCATCACGAGGACACCGGCTAACGGAAATACTACAACGTAAGTGACACAAAAGAACTACATACAGATTTTAATGTTTATATTCCTTTCCCTATATGTATATACATATGTACATATGTATGTAGAAACTTAACGGTTGGTTGCACATGAACAAGTAGAAATACATTGTTGCATACAAATTTATCTACATAAAATAGTATAATAAAATAAATAATGTACATTCATACCTACATAAGTGGAAAGTAGCACAGTGCGTGCTAATGAAAGACAATTTATTTAAAAAATAGATAAATTACTCGTAAACGTGCCACTGTATTATCTTACCGACTTTTTTCAAATCTTAACTGAAATTATTATTTAATAATTTTAATTTTTAAGTTATCTTGCAAATTTGAAATAAAATATTTTGCAAATTGGCCACGTAGCCTAAGCATTTTTCAAATAGTCACCAAAAATTAAATTATTGAAGCGCGCTGTGGGCTAAAAATGGAATTTTTCGGCAAAAGTTCATTATTATAACTTTTTTTTTGATTTTATGTTTTAAAATTTAGTCTATTTCCCAAATATAAATATTCCAAGTAAAAAATCAGATAAAAAGTTGATCTCTAGCTAAGTGAATAAACGTGCTTAGTTGCTTAGTTTCACTCTCAGCAGTGTCCGTACGGATTTTTGTGGTGATTAGTGAAGCGTCTAGTGAGATACAATATTTCATCATAAGTAGGCGGAACCACACCCTTTTACAAAAAAAAAAAAGTCATAATAATCTTAATATTGGCCTAAATTCTGCTTCCGTTCCTAATTTTTTAGAATTGTGCTTCCAATATATACGGAAATATCATAATTTTTTCGAAAATACCGCAATGTGGGAGAAGGACATGGTTAACGTCCGATTTTGTTCATTTTCATTGCAAACCTACCTTTCATTAAGATATATAAATTTTGCTCGAGTTATCGTGTACCAGGGCGGGCGGACAAACATATATGGCTTTATAGACCTCTCTCTTTTCGTTTCGTGCATTTTGGTATGTACATATAGTATAGCCTATATCTAAATCGATTTCTTTAGACTGTTACAAACAGCCATTTTGCAACTAACATTATAATCCCAGGGATCGAAATTAACCGTTAGATATCAAGATTTTTTTAGATCATTGCAAAATCGTTATTTTATATTTATATTTTTTTCGATAACAATTTATCGTTAAATTTGTTTTTTTTTTTGTCGGTAAAATGTAATCGTTTTATGGGACTTTTAATTATTTTTATTAATTTTTAACCGTTAAGGCCAGTATACAGCCCTCAAGAAAAGCAAAAACTCCATATAAAATGACGTACAAGAAATGGCTGAGCAATTTTCTGGCAGTATGCAGTTCTTCAGAAATTTTCTACGTTTTCTACTACGGTTTTCTAAAGTTTTTTTGTGAAAAAAGGGCACAAGGCAACCCTATTATTTCTTGAGGAAAGAGTGAGGCTGCATACTGGCCTTTGAAATGAAGACTGCGTATGTGGCGGCATTTTTACATTACTCATACGCACGGGTGTACTCTGTGGGTGTGCAGTTAATATGCACCATTTTCTATGCGAAATCGAAATCAATTTTTTGTTTTGTTTTACGCAAGGCAATTGACTTTTTTGCTTTCGAAATTGACCAAATAAAACTGTGTTCATGGACTTTTGAAATACTTCAGGATGAAAAGTACATACATATTTTAGGTGTATATGCAATGTTATACCTACAAACAAAGCACACGTTGAAATTAATAGGATATAAATTTGTGTTAAAACAAGAGCATGGAAACCCTCATAAGATATACTACTGTATTAATGTTTTCAAGAATGTCGTGATTTTGATGTTTATAAAATTTGAGCTTGATTAATACATTTTTAAAAACTTTACAGCACAAAAACAAAAACAAATCGATTTAAAAATGTTCCAACTATTTCGAGAACGGTTTTTGAAAATATGCCATCTCAAAAAAAATTGCAAAAAATCACAATGGTAGCTCTGAGTATTGCGCAATATTTAATTATAGTGTTACGGGGTGCACTCTATGAGTTATGAATCTTTTTTTACACCGCAGTTTTGTAGCCCATTAAAATTTTGTATAATAAAGTACAAATTTAAATTTTTAATATTTCTTGTGCGGCTTTTTGCACTTTTTTCTTATTAAAGAAGAAACTGCGCAAAACCGTTTCGAAAGAAAAATAAAAAAACGCCAGTTTTGCAATCGCTTTAAATTTTCACTTACACTAAAATTTAATGGGCTATAAAATTGCGTACTCAAAAAAATTCTAAAAAAAAAATTTTTAATCTGTAAATTTGTCCCATTTTTTTTTACTCAACTTCGATGTAAAAAAAAATTCATAACTCAAATTATTGTTGAGTGCACCCCGTAATACTATACTTAAATATTGCGGAATACTCAGTACTACCATTGTGATTTTTTTCCATTTTTTGAGATGGCATATTTTCAATAACTAATTTTTTTATCAAAAAAAAAAATGTTTTTTAAATATTTCCCATATATATATGTACATATCCATACCGTCGTTTAAAGTACAAACCCGCGTATCAAGATAATGCCAAATCGCTTATGTGAGGTTGCCAAAATTTTAAAGGAGAGAGTAAAACTTGTCTTATTTCAAAACGTTTCTCTCTTTTATCCCGGTGAGACAATCTAATTTTGGGACAAAAGTCAGTTACAAGGTTTTGCAGAACCACGATATGCCGTTTTTTACGTTAAACAACGTTATGTATATACATACAAAAATTACGCTTTTAAAGTAATAAAATTGTCCAGTCATTGCTCCGAAGCAGATGAAAATAATTCAAAATATTCAAATATCACCTTGCTCCTATTTGCGAAATTTGTGATCCCTAAGTTATGAGTAAAGCAGCTTAACAAATTCATACAATTCTTTGCTTTAAAAATTTCATCACGCACTTGATTGCCTTGAATTTCTCCGAAAAACCATGTACCAAAACTAACATCGACCATAAATATTATTCCAAGCGATATTGTGCCACCTTGACCGCATCGTATTTCATAACTTTTAAACTCGCCGTCTACACAAAATACGGCACATTCATATACACGCATACAACCACGCTTAAACACTGCAAGCAAATGTTGCCGTTGGCTCGAAACAAAACGGCTGCATAAATATGTATATATGTATGTATGTATGTAGGTAGATTGCAAATGTATAGTTGCAGTTAGCCAACCAAAATTGTATGCGCGCGCCCCCCTGCGCGCCAAAATGATGTCGCATCCATTTTTCGTTTGGTTCCCGTAGTTTTTTCACGCTTTCATGCACCAGCCAATGCATTCGGCTTCTATTTGCTAGCTGCGGGCCATTAGATTGCTGGTACACAGAAAAAATTACAGCTCACGCTTGCGTGACTCAAGCTGGCCTGGGGCTTTTCTGCACGTTTTACAGTGCAGGGGCTTACAGCCAGCTCTATTTTGCTAGTTTTTTTTTTCGTTCTGGCTTTAAAATTTTTCCTCTGTATATGATTGCAGTTGTAAGTATGTATGCTTTTTGTATTTTGTTTCCTCTTTCGTCTGTTCATTTGTTTGTATATTTGCTGGGTCTCCCTTTCTTTTCGTTTTTGTTTGTTTGTTTGTTTATTTTTATGGTCGCGCTTGTTTGCTTGTTTACTTGCATCATTTCAATTCAGTCATTCGTTTCTATTTTTAAATAGCCAGCCACAATGTACCCTTGGTTTTATCTCTCCATATGCTGCTGTATATATATGTGTGTGTGTGAATGTGAAGCTCTATCTTTTTCCGTTTTCCCCTATCAGTTTTGTAACATCTGTTGGTAAACATTTTCGTTACGGCATTTCTATTTGTTTTGCTTGAGTTGCGCGCAGTGCAGTCCTTCTGCAAAAAAAAAAAAAAAACAAAAAAACATAGCAGTTGAATGCAAAAAATGGAAATAAAAGCAAAAATATATTAAATTTTTCCTTTTACCGGTATCGCCCGGCCCAACCGACATGGCTTGTAATTCCCACACTATTTCTACAGATTTGTATCTGACTAATTTATTTATTTGCGATGCTGTGATATTTTGTAATTGAGTTTGGGTTAGCCTTTCGTCCTTTGGTCAAAGCATTTAACGCGGCATTATTCGTTTGCTGTTGACGTTGGATTCCGTTTGCGATTTAGACATATTTTTTATGCGCCTTTTTTAATAGTTAACTTTGGCCTTTTCGCAATCGGTAGCATTGCTCTAACATTTGAAATAAAAAGTAAACATTTGCTTTTGCTTTGCACTTCCATTTCGTTGCGTCGGCATTTTTATTTAACACTCCATGTTACCACCTGCCACTGCGTATGGGGCGGCATTTTTACATTACTCATACGCATGGGTGTACCGTTTGGGTGTGCGCTTTATTATACCACATTTTCTGTGCGGAATCAGGATTAACTTCTTATTTTGTTTCACCAAATAACACTGTATTCATGTATTTTCAAATATTTTTATAGTAAAGCGAAGCCATATATGCAAACTTTAAAGTTATGTTCAAATTTTAACATAGTTTATACCATTTTATTTTGGCGATTTAAGGGAAGGAAAATTGAAAATCGAAGTTGGTAAAAAAAAGTTCAGACACGATGTATGTGCGTATGGATATAATAAAAAATCGGTCCCCAATTGTTACAAGATTACCTGGAAGAATGCTGAGCTTGTACCGGCCTTTATCAATTAGTGGTCGTATCCGTCTCATTTCCCAACCAGACTGCACTTTTGGGTATACTTTGCATTTTACACATTTTAACCTTAATTAAAAACAATATTTTGATATTTTAAATGCCATCCTTTCACTTCAATTGCGCCCCTTTCGATTTTAAAATAAAATGGGATTCCACTTTTTTCATATAAGGACATAAATTGTGTGTCAGCGTTTGACAATTGGATCTCTTCAGGAACCTTTAATCGATCATCTGTATATCAAGGGCCAATATAAGGTATTTGCACAAAATTGCCCAATTTAAAAAAAAAGGTCGATTTAAAGTCAACCTTTGGTTAAA